TGGTTACCCCTCAACATCACTTCCCCTGCAGGGCTCTCACAAATGTGGCCCTTGATAATTTTTTCAAAGACCTTCCCCAGGATAGAAGTGAGGCTGACTGGCCTGTAGTTGCCAGGCTCTTCCTTCCTCCCCTTCTTGAAAATAGGGACCACATTGGCCCTTTTCCAGTCCTCAGGGACTTGGTTTAAGTAAATATAGTATTTCAAACCAAGCAGTACTGTTCAAAATGCCTGGAGACAAGGGGAAATACTCTTCTCTTATTAGAAAATGATATTTCACTTTCCAGGCAGTAAATGGAAGGATGTTCCCCATGAAAGTGAGGGAATACATCTGAGGTCGACAGGACCCCAAGCAATCAAGAATGGCAAGTTACAGTTAGACTCAGAGAATGTTGTTTATACTACAGTTCACTAACTTACATCAGTTATCAAGGGTATTATTAGCAAACATACCACAACTTCTTGCAAACTGTTTGGAAGGCTAACTGTTGAAATTCCATGAGATGGTCTCTGTGACAGATCAATATTTTGCAGGGGGCCCCCCACGCTATGGCTCCGAGTCAAAGATGCTTCTCGTTTTTGTGGATTGTTGCCAGATGTTGTCACTGCTCTGGGGCCCTTACTCTGTTCTTCAGGCTTATTACTGTTTAAATTTCAGAAAAGAACATGTCAATATATTACTTTTCAGCAACAGCCGGTGATAGGAGCTGGAGGAAGACTATCAGTTAGGCATCCCCAAACTATTTTCATCTACTGAAAGGAAAAAACTCAGTCATTTGGGTGAATGCAACACAGAAAACCTCAGCACAATATGAAGTAACCCAAAACACATGGGAAAATATGCATGTAAAAACAGAAAAAGGAACGGGGGGTATTTTACTTTCATTTTAACTCTTAAAATTTACCGTTATGGAGCCTCTATCTTGTCTAAATATTTGGCACAGAAATGGATCCAGGCAAAGACTGGAAGATGCTCTTTTGTCAGCTCAGACAAAAACCCCCCACTTGAACACGTTTCATATCCTTTGACATCCACCTAATCAGTGAACTAAAGCAAGTTCTTGAACTGACTAATCATAACTAATGAGTGCAACTCACACAGTAAATAGCACATTATGAACACTCTCAGGACTGTCTGTAGGCGATGCATTTAAAACTTGAATTATTTTAAAAAATTCAATTGCAGAACAAGAAGTCAGCTCTGAGATGATCTGCAAGTAAGAAAGGCAAAATCCACAGCATAATATTTTAGATGCAAATACGATGCTTGGGTCTCTTAAAGAGACATGTGACATGAGAGTTCAGCAAGAAGAACAGATCAAAACTGGTTTACTACATTGTGTAATATACCTGGTCTTGGGGCTCAATAACAAGAATGACTCCTGTGCCCTTTCTTACAGAGTATCACTTAACATGCAGCGGGATAAGGCTATGCCAAGTATACATTTTTAAAGAAATTAAACAGTTTTGAAAATGCTGGTAAGTTTCTAAATTAAACCAAGAACACTTGTATCCCTTTCTCTTCCTTACCTCTGCTCAGGTGTAGAGCTTGTTTCTTCAACTATGGTCTGGTTGGAGCTAGGATGATCTGAAAAACTCATCAAATCAGCAACAGCAGAGCTGGATGCAGGTTTCAGCTCCAGAGGATCAGTAGTTATTGGAATGTTACCACTGTGTAAACTATCTCCAGAGGTACTTGGTTTCAGAAAAAAGCTAAATGATAATAAGGGAAGATTAAGAAAATGGTGAGGAGGAAGGTTAATGTTATACAAGTATATAAACACTGAACTGACTTTCCAAATACCTGCAACAGAAATTATACAAGCGAAAAGAAAAAGCTGGAGTTCTATACAAAGAAACACAAATCCAATATTAGAACATGGGGTAAGCTCTAGAATACAAATACAACGCTACTCCTCACTACCAGAATACATCAAGGAACAACTAAAATTAGTCAACAGAATATTCTGTCTTGGTGATTACATAGATTGCCAAACAAGAAAAAGATTTAACCAAAATACTGTTGAGGATGGGTATTTTAAATTAATAATAAGATTGTAAAAATAGAAAGATGACATATTAAGGGTCCAATACATTAGGAATGGATCTGATTTTCCAAGGATCTTTTAAGCATAAGTTTTATTTATATTTTGGCTTTTCTGGCCTGCTGACAGACACAGATGCAAAAATGAATGCTACCTGATAGTACTAAGATGTGCCAACAAAAGTCACAATCATCTTAAGAGCAATGACAAGTTATTGAGACAGAACACAAAAATGCTGGTGACATTATAGGCAAATAGGCTCTTCACTGTTATTTGGTCCTTCAAACTGGCCAAACTAGGCAGTGACTTATCACGATCCCATGCAGTAACATGACCTTCTTAAACCTGGTCATGGAAGAAACCTTATTTGCTGAAGTTTAGACAAGCATTCCAACAATAGAGCTTTTCTTCAATTTTTGTTTATTTTAAAATCTTAAAATGTTTATTTTAAGTTTTTTTGTTTGTTTTTTAAAGGACATACAATCTTCCAAACAGCAACATTTATGAGGGAAATGCTTCAGAAAATGAGACATTTGAAGGCATAATCAAGTATTTGCCTTGATTATGCCTTAGGCCAGCCTAAGTATTTATTGTTTTCTGATTACTATACCATAAGGCTCAGTGGTTCAGGATCTTTTTAAATTTGCTTTTCCTGTTTGTACAACCACAACCGGGAAAACAGCTAGTGATTTGTAATGGCTGCATATGCAGTAAAAAGTATCTTTATTTTTCCAAGTTCCCTAATAAGTCCTCATTACCAAAACAGACAAAATGAATGTGCAAAATCCATGTGCAGAATTTAATGGAAAAAGGCAACGCACTTAGAAAAATCTACCAACCTAGCAGAGCCACGCAAGTCTTTAAATTCCACATTAAGAAGAGGTAAGAAAGTGCTTTTACAGAAGGGACAAGTGGTGTTCAAGTTAGAATCATCTGCAGTCCATCCAGCCATAATTTCTTCATCGTAAACTAAAGCTTCACATGCTCTACATTGCGAGCAACTTGACATCAAAACCTGCAACAGAAAACAAGGAACATAAACACTTTAAAGCCTTTTAAAACCCAGCTGTGTCAGTATAATGCCCACCCTGTCCCGACAAAGAGGTGTCAGAACGGTCTGGAGACCTTGGTTTTATTTTCATCACTGTCACCTTAAAATGGTGCTCAAGGTTACACATTATCCTTTTTTGTGCATCTCTTGCCTATAAAATGGTAGTAATGATGATCACCATATGTTAACCGCATTGATCTTTATGAAAAGCATGCAAGTGCTAAATACATTTTTAGTAGTCACATACCACTTAAAGCTTTTAAAGTATATGATGCATAAAAAGCATTAACCCCTAAAATACATCTCCTGCATGTATAGTATAAAACTGTACACTTCTGCTTTTACTAAAAAGCCTTTATAGGGAAGAATACATTTTCCTACTATTTCCCGGTAGAAGTGCCATGCTTTGATTGTTTTGAAACTGGACTAGAGAAAGTGCTGGAACATCCTGACAGGCTCCAGGAGCGGTGCGAGACATGTGGGTGCAAGCCCGCTGCGCCCCCACTCCCCCAAAGGCCCCAGCAACCCTCAACTTGTGCGGAGTGCCCCTGCTGACCCCCAGCAGCAGCTGGAGGTAAGCGGGGCCCCTGGTGGGAGGGACTAGCCCCAACCTAGCCACAGGGAGGCAGCTAAGCCGGAGCCGAGGCGGGTCTCGCCCTGCCACAGTCCCTACTTCACCCAGCCCCACAAGGAATCTCGCGAACAGGCCGTGCAAACAGGCGTGCTCATCTGGCCCAGCACAAGTTAGTGTGGAATTTGCGCAGGATGGCGAGCGGGAGAGCCCGCAGCCCTGCCTGCGTGCCCCCGCCCTAGGGAAGCGAGTCCCAGCCATAGCCAGCCCACCAGTGGCATGACACGGATGGGCATGCACCGCAACCCAAGGGTCCCCTTGGGGCCTGCGGCCCCCACCTCTGGCACCTCAGAGACGGCCACCCAGACGGAGCCCACGGTTCCGGGCTCCATGCAGACAGAGCTTCTGGCTCTCTGCTGTAGGGGCTGCCTGTCGCTTTTTCAGGCTCTGGGAGCATGGCCACCTCCCGTTGTGGGGTCTGCTCCCTACTGGGGTCTCTGGCGCATCAGCTGGAGGAGCTCCAGGCCACAGTCCAGAGACTCTGTGCCATCAGAGACTGTGAGCAGGAGACTGACTCCTACTGCCAGGCCCTTCTCCCTCCCCATGGTCTCCCTCCAGCCCAGGGGTTGGACCAAGGTAGTCAAGGGCCCCACGGCCCAACACACCAAGACCCCTCCCCTGCTGGACCTATGCAACAGGTACAAACCTCTTGCAGCCCCAGCAAAGCCTGCTGAGTTGCCAGCTCCTGCAGGCAACACGGGCACTACTGTAGCTACCACCCCTGCTCTCCCCAAGACAAAACACAAAGCGTTTGTCATGGGAGATTCCACCCTGAGGGGGACTGAGGGGGCAATCTGCCACTCCAACCCCTTACCCCGGAAAGTCTGCTGCCTCCCAGGAGCCTGCATCCAAGACATTGCGGAGAAGATTCTTAAACTCCTCCAGCTCACTGAACATTATCCCATGCTCCTTATCCATGTGGGCACCAATGACACAGCTTGGAGAGCTTGGGTCATGAGGCGCTACAGGGATTTGGGAGCGGGGCTAAAGGGTCTGGGGGCACAGGTGGTGTTTTCTTCAATCCTCCCAGTGTCAGGCTACAGGCTGAGGAGGGAGAGGAGGATCCAGGTAGTCAACCAAAGACTGGTTGTCATCAGGAAGGCTTTGGCTTCCATGACCACAGCCCGCTCTTTGGTGAGAGAGGCAGTGAGCTGCTGGGAAGGGACAGCCTCCACCTCTCTCCGCTGAGGAGGTGGCTCTTCTCAGCCAGACTGGCTGACCTGCTCCACTGGCCTTTAAACTAAGCCCGCTGAGCATCCCTTGCAAAGCCAGCAGGCCAAGACACTTAAGGGAGCCCACCCATGCCCCAGCCCTGGAACAACCGGTAGGCAAGGCAAGGGCCCCCAAAGGGACACTTGCCTGCCTGTATGCAAATGCCAGGAGCTTGGGGAATAAACAGGAGGAAATTGTCCTCCTGCTTAGCGCAAAAAAATTACGATGTGATAGGGATAACGGAGACCTGGTGGGACTCCACCCATGACTGGACCACGGGTATAGGTGGCTATACCCTGTACAGGAGGGATAAAGTAGACAAAAGGGGAAGGGGTGTAGCTCTCTATGTTAAGGAGAGCTACGCGTCCCTGCGAGCCGACATTGGCGACCAGGGTGGATGGCTGGAGACCCTCTGGGTTAAAATCTGTGGGGAACACGGCACAGGGGACACAATGTTGGGAGTCTACTACAGACCTCCCACCCAAAGTCAAGAGCTTGACCAGGAATTCACCAGGGAATTGGCTGAGGCCGCATGCTCCAGATCCATGGTTGTCATGGGAGACTTCAACTACCCAGACATCTCATGGGAAGAGCTCTCGGCTAAATCCAAGTGGTTGCAAAGCTTCCTATCATATGTGGATGACCTCTATCTGACACAAGAGGTCTATGGCCAATGAGAGGTAAAGCGCAGCTCAACCTGGTACTGGAAACTGGGGACGACCTAAATTAGTGACCCAATGATCAAAGGGAAGCTGGGTGACAGCAACCACAAGCTGATCACCTTCACCATCTGCCGTAAAGCTGGCAAGTCAGTCAGCAATACAGAAGTCCTTGACTTCAGGAAAGCTGACTCTGACAAGCTCAGGAGGCTTGTCAGTGAGGCCCTAAGGGACCACAACCCCAAGGGGAGGGGAGCTCAGGAAGCGTGGTTGCTCCTCAGGGGAGCGATACTCAGTGAGCAAGCTAATGCTATTCTGTCTTGGAGGAAAGGCAGCAAAAGGGCACAGAAGCCCCCTTGGCTCTCCAGGGAACTAGCAGACCTCCTAAAGCAAAAAAAAAAAGGCCTACAAAGGATGGAAGACAGGATCTGCCTCCAAGGAGGAATATTCCGCACTGGTCTGGTCCTGCAGGGAGCAAAACAGGAAGGCCAAGGCTGCGATAGAACTCCAACGAGCTACAAGTATCAAGGACAATAAAAAGTCCTTTTTTAGATATGTGGGGAGCCAGAGGAAAAGCAAGGGCAACATTGGACCCCTGCTAAACCAGATGGAACAACTGACAACCGACGCCCAGGAAAAAGCCAACCTATTAAATGGCTACTTTGCATCAGTCTTTCATCAGTCCCACAGGACGCCCCTGCCCACTACGGGACGGGGAGCCTGGGTGAGGGAGATTCCCTGCCCTCCATCAATGCTGACCTCATGAAGGAGCACCTTGAGAGGCTGAACACCTTCAAGTCAGCTGGCCCTGACAGTCTACACCCCAGGGTACTGAAGGAGCAGAGTCATAGATCCGTGCCAGGGGCTGGGCTTTGAGAACTCCTGACGCTCTGAAGTGCCTGAAGACTGGAAGAAGACCAATGTGGTGCCTATCTTCAAGAAAAGGAGGAAAATGGATCCGGCAAACTACAGGCCCATCAGCCTGACCTCAATCCCGGGGAAGGTCTTAGAAAAGATTATTGAAAGAGGCCATTCTCAACAGACTGGCCGATGGCAGCTTCCTGAGGAACAGCCAGCACAGGTTTGTTGTGGGTAGGTCTTGCTTGACCAATCTTATCTCCTTCTACAACCAAGTGATCTATCACCTGGACAAGGGAGAGGAGATTGATGTCATATATCTTGACTTCAAAAAAGCCTTTGATTTGGTATTCCATGATCACCTCTTGGGAAAACTGGCCAACTGCAGCCTCGGGCTGGGGAACTGGCTCTGGTGTCTCAGAGTGCCCAAAGGGATGAGACAAGGTCGAACAGTTATAAACTTCAGCAAGACTGTTTCAGGCTGGACATAAAAAAGAATTTCTTCACTGTCTGAGCCCCCAAGGTCTGGAATAGCCTGCCACCAGAGGTGGTTCATGCACCTACATTGAACGCCTTCAAGAGAAGTTTGGACGTTTATCTTGCTGGGATCCTATGACCCCAGCTGACTTCCTGCCCCTTGGGCAGGGGGCTCAACTCAATGATCTTCCGAGGTCCCTTCCAGCCCTAATGTCTATGAAATCTATGAAATCCTGGAGAAAAATAATTCTGCAATCGGTGGAGGAATGATCAGTCTATGGTCCTGGAAAGATATAATGTTTTCAGTGGCATAACTGATACTGCACCATTGTAAAGAAGTAGCTAGTAGACAAAGCAAACCCTTAAACCAAGCTAACTATGCTCAATCTAGTGAAGAATTACCTTTGAAAGAATGAGTGGTGAAATAAACTACAAGTATAAGTCTTGCAAGGTTAGGTTTTCTGTCCATATCCATTGTGGCTAGGTACAGACATTTGGGGGTATTAGGAGGAGGTAAATCAGTTCAAAATGGCTGCCTGATATCAGGTAAGTCAGGATAGAGGCCTTAGTGGTAGGGGAGGGAGTTGGGGATCCAGCAGGCTGGAGGGAATTGGGGGTCCACCGAGGGATGGGGGGCAGGTGCTACCCACGGGTGGGCTGGGGGAGGGGCAGCAATGACCTGCAGGTGTGGTGGGGGAGCAGGTGCAACCTGCAAGGAGTGGGAGGGCACAGCAATGACCTGCAGGTGGGGGGGGCAGTATGACCCCTCCCACCCATTTTTTGCTGGGGTCTGGGAGTGTCTAGCAGGGTTAGGAGCACTCGTGGGGTCCATGGGGGAGCTTTAGAAGATCAGGGACTACTTTTAACTCCCTGATCCCCACTTCCTCGTGAACCAACACCCCCATCCCTCCTGCCCTTCCCTGCACCGGGACTTATTTGCTTGGCTCCAGCAGTAGCGAACACTAATAAAATGTGGCTGCACCTGCAGCAGCTTGTGGAATGGGAATTGAGAGGGCTGGTCGGCCCAGGGGGTGGGAGGAAAGGGCCTGGGCCAGGGGGGAGTTAAAAGAGCAGCCCCAGGGCTGGACCCAGCGGCTGGGTTTTCCCCACAGGGAAAGTGTACAGAAGTTTCACGCACTGGTTTGACCCAAGTCACATAAATTTGATGCTACATAGATCTTAAACTGGATTCTGATACTACATAAAAGTTTATCTTAAACTGGAGTCTGCAATTTTTAGACCAGTTTGTGTGCATGGAACTTCTGTACCTGTAACTGTACAGAAGTTAAGTGTAAGGATGTCAGTCACTGAGACCGGGTCTGTAAGTGTAAGGTTGGCACTGGGATGACCTAAGTTTAAATTGGAAGGCCATTTTGAACCCAGTTTAACTTCCCCTATACTTAGCTTGTGGGATCAACAGGTTACTTGCTCCCCTGTCACCTGGTGAGGGACTATACCGACTACCTACTGCATGAGCTGCACATCTGTATAATCTCAATACTGGTGCAACTAATGACATTCATGTATTATTCATGTGCATCTATCCACACCCCAAGTAACCTTAGGTCTTTCCATCAATATTTTCTGTAACTCACTTCACTTGCCTTTTCAAGTTCACAACCAAAGAATGCAAGAGGTCTCACTCTAAAGTATTTTCTTTTACCATTACTGTCTCCTCACATCTCATGATAAAAGGAAGATTGGGGAGTCTACATAACAAAAATATTAAGAAGAATATTGAGAAGATAAATATTTGGGTCCTAGATACCCAAACTGAAACAACTGTAAAACTGCTATTTTGATGCAAAAGCTGTTTTTGCATTGGTCACAAAGCCAATACCAGAAGTCTAAAAGCACCAACTGGCAGCCAGAAAAAGGAGCATGGTAACTCAATTATTAATTAAAAAGCAATTTTTCAAGGAAACACTCTTGAGAGGACTTCGTCTTGTCCATGATGTTCTGCTACCTCCCCGTGCACTGCATGGTCTGAGTTACTATTCTGTTCCTTCCAAGATTATGATAACTACTGAAATAAAAAGAATAAAAGCACTTTGTACTAGGGCTGTGTGAAACGGCTATGTTTCATTTCAGTTTCAGATTCAGCATTTCAGAGGGACAGTGATTCATTTTGGTGTTTCAGATCACAGTCCCATTTCAACTCGCCTGAATCTGTTTCAGAGTTTTGACAGTGTTTCGGCCATAGGCTACAATGGGAATCACAAAATCGCCTATAATTTTGTCATTTCTTGCCTGATTCAGATGAAAATTGCAGAGATGGTAGCCCCTTTAAGGGCATGAAACCTGCCAACTTTCAAGGAGATAGTTTCATAGTTTCATAGATTTAGGGTCGGAAGGGACCTAGTAGATCTTCTAGCCCGACCCCCCGCCAGGGCGGGAGAACAACAAAACCCCAAAACAAGAAACGGGACTCAAATGAGTCCAGCCAGGTAGGCATCCAGCCTCTTCTTAAAGACCCCCAGGGTAGGGGCCAGCACCACTTCCCTTGGAAGTTGGTTCCAGCTCCTAGCCGCCCTAACTGTGAAGTAGTTTTTGCGGATGTCCAATCTATACCTCCTCTCCATCAACTTGTGCCCATTACTCCTTGCTATGCCAGCAGGCGCTAGGGGAAACAGCGTCTCCCCCAAACCCTTCTGGTCCCCCCTAGTGAGTTTATAGACGGTCACCAGGTCCCCCCTCAGCCTTCTCTTGTGGAGGCTGAATAGGTTCAGGTCCCGCAGTCTCTCACTGTAGGGTCTGCCCTGTTGTCCCCGGATCATGCGGGTGGCCCCCCTCTGGACCCTCTCCATGTTGTCCACATCCCTCTTGAAATGGGGCGCACAGAACTGGACACAATACTCCAGCTGTGGCCTCACCAGCGTCGCGTAGAGGGGGAGGATCACCTCCTTGGCTCTACTCGAGATGCACCTGTGCAGGGGGTTTTGTGAAACTGCACCTCAAATTGTTAAAAGCAAAACTTGTATCACTTGCTGGCAGCAACAGCATGCCGGCATCCTGCACGGAGATCCAGGGGCCTGCACCAGACTCCTCCCAGGGGGTGTGGACCCCTGGACCTTTGCACAGGATGAGAGCAGGCTGCTGTTCCACCCTCAGAGCACTGGGATTGGAAGGGACCTCAGGGACAGATCGCAGACATTGGTCAGCTACAGATGTCAATCAAAGCATATAACCACACCTTTTTCTCCAAAACCAGCTAAGGGAAATTGGAATGCTCACTGTATGCAAGGAAAAGGGACCCCCACGAGTCCAGAAATTTGGTGCGGGGAGAAGCAGTAGCAGTGTTAATTGCCATGACTTTGGGAGCCATGGCCACTAACACAGCTCTGAACTTAAGGGACAGGTCAGGCCTAGCATGTCATGTCTGGGACCATGTGCTGGGTCAGACCCAGCATGTGGCTACAGAGGCAGTACCTGGTCCTGGACTTGGCATGTAGCTCTAGAGCCAGCATGTGAGGTTGGACCCAACACACTGGGTCTGGGGTCACATGCCATGTGCCAGGTCAGAAATGGCACGTGGATCGAGTCCCACCACGTCAAGTCATATCCACCATATGGCCCCTGACCCAGCACAGTGCAGAGCCCCAGACCCAGATACAGTACACATGCAGGGTCATTCCATGCCCAGACCCGGCCCACGCCTGCACCAGGAGAAGAGGAAGGTTTGCAGGGGAAGTGATTGGAGCCAAACAACAGCTGCCACTACCTGCCTCCCCCCAGGACCTGCACCTGCACAGCCAAAGAGACAGTGGCAGAAAGAGAAGCGTGCAGCCCCAGACTGCAAGCGAGTGTCTGCCTCAGATCACCCCATAGCTACAGGCTGCTTCTGTTTACACACTCATGAAGGAGTGGGGAGACAAGAGTGGCTGCTCCTTCCAGCTGTGCTGCTGCGCAGCAACTTCCCAGATGCTGTCTGGAAAATTTCAGAGGAAGCCTCCTACCCACCCCCCTCTTTTCCCTACCTGCTGCTACTTAGTTACTTAATTAAGGTAAGACCTTTTTCCTTCATGTTGCCGTTCTAAAACAGAGTGCATGTTATATTTGGGATGTTTTACATGCAAGAAAATATGGATCTGGTATGCCCAAAGGCACCTAAAAAAGCATTTACATCTTACCAGTGTATAAGTGTATTGGTCTTACCTCCATTGCACAGTTCTGGAAGATGCTAGATAAACTCGTATTGTGGGAGGAGCCATGTTCTGACTTCTCAGAATCCAGACCTTTCATGCTTCTTGGGAATGAAATTTCACCTGCACCAGAGTGGAGAGACTCTTTACTCAATGTATGTCCAATTTGATGCTGTTATTCTAAGTGACGTCAACAGTACAGAACAATTTCAAGATTACACATAAATATATAATGTTTATGGGATATTACTGATGCAACATAAAAATTCCTGTATTTTTGGTCAATGTTTTCAAGTAGTTTCTGTATCTTCATTTATGATACTGACACAATGAAACTGGGGAAAAAAAAATGATAAGGAGGCAGTGTAGTACTGATATATTTTACACAGTTCAAAGAAAAGATAAAGTAAAAGAGGGTAGTAATGAGAACAAAAGGAATCACCTAGCTAGCTATTCTAGGACAATACCTAGTTCTCCGCAATCATGCTGCAGAACTCCACAAAGAAGAAGAACACAAAAGTAGTAGATGAGAACACTACAAATACAAGTGTTATGTTAGAATGCTCTCTGGCCAGGGCTTAGCCCAAAACAGGGATACAGCTGTGATTGATGTTGGGAATGGGGAAATCTAGCTTTTATCTAACAAAAATGAAAAAAACCTACAAAGTACTATTGCTAGGATAGAATACAGTCTGGGCTGGTTCCAGAGGAAATAAAAACCTGTATGTTCAATTTCCTCAAGAGTCCTAGTCATCCTTTCACACTCAAAAGTGGTCAATTGACAGAGTCCTTCTCAGAGTCTTAAAAGGAAAGCAAATTTCCTTCTAAGAACATCCATTCCTCTCATCAGGGTAGATGCACTCTAAGCCCAACTCCTCCTGTTCACTTACTATTCCCCTCTAGCTTAAACTTGGCTAGGAGTCCCCAGGATGGATTTTAACCCTTTCCCACCCTGACAGAATACAAGGTTAGCATTCCTTAGCTATTAAGATTAATTTGCTTTTGGAACAATTTATGTATGCTTTTCTACCAACCACTTACATCCTCACACTCAAAACAATTCAGACAGTTCCTATTTATTCTAAATAGGTACTGTGTACTGGTCACTTCATTTAAGTGGCTCATTGGGAGTTCTTTTGAAAATCTGCTTGCTCTGTTATGGATGATAGATTCATTAATAGCTGTTGAACAGAACGTTTGGAGATGTTTCCTCTGGCATCTCTAAACCAATAATGGTGGATGCCGGGGAGAGTAACTGATATGGGACAGATCACTTTAGTTCTATCCAGTTCAATGCTCTCCCTCTAGTACCCATTTCTGCCATTGTTGGAGACAGGATACTAGGCTAGATGTACTGGCCTGGTATGGCACTTCTTATGTTCTTTTGTTCATTTTCAGTTTTAATATTTTAAAGAGACTTGTTTATAGGCAGCTGATATTACATGAATAGGCAATTCTGCATAGCTGTAAGAACTAAACAGAAGAGTAAGCTATGGCACTTAGATGGAAGAATTCCTTTTCTACCTGATCATCTTGTGCCAAGGATGTAGAATAATCAAGTGATGCAGGTAATCAAGAAATGCAATCATTATATTACACTTAGCCTTAGTATTGACTCACACTTGCACAAATTCTGAATTTTTTAGTGCCAATAGCACCATTCCAACAAGCTACTTAAAGGTTGTAGCAATGGAGAATAGTATTCTCATTTAATTATATCCCCAAACAACAATTAATTATGAAGGAAAAATCCACACCTGTTGGGTACTGCTGTTTTCCTACATCTCCACTGCTGTTGCTGCTACCTAGACTGGTAGTGCTCTGTGTGAGCTCACTGGTTACCAGCCCCAGGATTCCTGTTTTTGGTGACAGGTTATCTCCTAAAAGGTGGTCTTCTAATCCAGTGGGAAAGGGGAAGTCTTGCTGATGAGTTTCTTCCTTTAACACAAAAAGGAAAACTTAAGACTTTTGAGTATTTCCAGATCCATTTTTGTTTTTGCTGTTTAATATTTACTGCTAAAAATAATTTAGGAAGAACCTTATATTTACTGTTTTAACAAACAGATAAAGACTCAGATTGTACACTGTTTGGGTCAGGGCTAGGTAAAAGAAGAAAAGATACTGAACAAGAGTTCCCAAACTATTAAAATAAAAAAGGATCAAAGCACCCACTGCCAGTAAAGGTAAACTGGTGGGAGAGGGTTTTAAAGAAGGGGGTTTGAAGGAAGAAAGTATTTTTGGCAGAAAAGAACAAGGTGTTGGGATTTTGGGGGAAAAAATAATGGGCAAAGCTGAAAGTAAGAAACAACGGAAGCATTAAGGGAAAAGGCAGGAGCAGAAGAAGTGGGAACAGCAGTTTGAGTAGACACAAAACGTATTATAAAAATAAACTGGCTAGAGGATCCAAAAATTAAGATGACAAAAGTTAGAATGGCAGACTATTATATCTGCAATTGCAGTGTAAATAGACTAGAGCAGGGGTGGGCAAAATGTGGCCTGGGGGCTGGATGTGGCCCGCCAGGCCATTCTGTCTGGCCTGTGGGGCCCCTAAAAAATTTAGAAAATTAGTAATTATCTGCCCTAGGCTGCCTGTCATGTGGCCCTTGATGGCTTGCCAAAACTCAGTAAGTGGCCCTCTGCCCAAAATAATTGCTTGCCCCTGGACTAGAGGGAAGAGAGATAACCAGGAAAGTGAAAGTTACAGTAGCCAATTGACACAGAACACAACAAGGTGAACAACGGTTTTAGAGCTATGAGATATTTAGAAAAAAAAAGTCACCAAATTCTGTAAGAAAGGAGTAAGTAAGGAGTTAGTAGAATATTGGACACAGGGGAAGTCAGATATAAGACAGAATTCATCAGAAAAGCGGAGCTGTTAACCAACAGACAAACACGGTTGAGGCAAGGGAGGAGCCAGAATGGGGTGGGAAAAAAAAAGAGAGACAGAAAGTTGGAAGAGTGTACATAACTGCATAACTCAGAGAAAGACCCAAGCTAGAGTGGAACAAAAGGAGGGTCTGTTCAAGAAGAAACAGACATTTAGAAGGCACAAACTATGCACATGGCAGGAGAAAGATTAAAAAGTTCTTTCCATCCCTCCCCCTTTGAATCATCCCTCCCCCTTCAAATATTTGTTTTCCTTCTTAGCAAAAAGGTTCCCTTGATCTGGTTTCCACACCTAACCTTCCTCTAAATCTTAGGTCACAATTCCGGAGTCCACCCTGTCCTCACGTTTCTGGACTCCTTCTTCTAGTTTTGAATACAACTGTCATTGGCCTGGCTTCTTTAAGATTGTGGAATTCACTTTTTTATAAGTCATATACAGGTTTCCCTCGACTTATGCAGTACATGCGTTCCTGGAGAATGGTGCATAAATTGAATTTTCCTAAAGCAAACCACCTTTGCAATTTAACAAATAGGGATAGGTCCCCATGGCATAAGGGAGGGAGGGAGGCACGCTAGGACTAGGGAAGGGGTGGGGGGAGGGGTGCCTCTCTTGGAGCCCCACGAGGCTGCAAAGCAGATGGATCAGTGGCACTTAACCCAGCCCTGGCTGCAGCAGCCCTGGGAGCGGTTGACATCAGCTGCCTGCAGCTGCTGGGCTGCACCGTGCCCCAAGCCACACAGTGCTCTGCCTGTCCTCACTCACCCCAGCTCCTGCTGTAGTAGCCCAGGGAGTGGCTGATGTCAGCTGTCTGTAGCTGCTAGGCTGCACCGTGCCCTGGTTCAGGCAGCTGGTGTCAACCGCTCCCGGGGCTGCTGCAGCCAGGGCGAGTGCCATGCCCTGCACCACCCGGGGCTCCGCTTGCTTGTACTCACCCCAGCCCAAGCTGAAGTGGCCCTAGGAGCACCTGACACCAGCTGCCTGCACCAGGGCACAGTGCAGCTCAGTGGCTACTGGCAGCTGGCATCAGCCACTCATGGGGCTGCTCCAGCACAGGCTGGGGTGAGTGTGGACAAGAGGAGCCCTAGGCAGCGCGGGGCACAGCACTCACCCCAGCCCATGTTGGAGTGGCTCCGGGTCAGCTGCTTGCACC